ACCAACCAACCCACCAACCAACCCACCAACCAACCCACCACCAACCGACCCACCAACCAACCGACCCACCCACCAATCGACCCACCCACCAACCGACCGACCAACCGACCGACCAACCGACCGGCCAACCGACCGGCCAACCGACCGGCCAATCGACCGGCCAATCGACCGGCCCACCAACCGACCGACCAACCGACCGGCCCACCCACCGACCCACTCACCGACCCACCAACCAACCAACCAACCAACCAACCAACCAACCAACCAACCTCAGATGCCACCCCTCACCCGGGGAAGGCCCCCGAAATGGGTCGTACGGCCGTACGTACGGCCCGTGCGACCGCCTGGGTGGCCGTACGTACTCCCCGTATTCGTACGGGGGGACACATAGATCCGATTACCACGAGTCAGAGGAGAGTGAGTTGGGAGGGAGTGGGTTGGGCGAATCAGATAGCCCCAGCGAGCCGAGCAAGGAAGAGGACGAGGTGGCAGCCCAGAGGAGGCGAGAGAGGGCGGAAGGAAAGCGGTCAGTGGAAGAATCGGACGGGCTAGCAACGCGGCTGTCACAAGGTGATCCAGCGCGCAATCCAGAGCAGCCGCAGGAGGAATCCAGAGGAAATAGCATCACCACTGCAGAGGGATCTAGAAGCAGATACCGCAGAAGAAGTCTAGCACCGGCTCAATCCTCTTCACCTCCGCGGCCCGCCGTTCGTCTACGTGGAGATGAGAACGCTCGGGCTTCATCCCTGGTCGTTATCCCGCCGTCCCCTTGATTTTCTTGTTGTCCACCAGCTCGCGGACCGACCCCCTTTTCCCTCTAATTGGCATCCCTTTCCCCCTTCCCTTTTCCACCAGCTCAACTCCACCCGCCTCATCATCAATGTCTTCCCACACGCCACCACTCGCTGTATTGTAACCTCCTTCCCTCTCCACGTCCTTCTCTTCAGCATGGAATGGCAGGAATATAATAATATAGAAGTTTATTGCATAATTTCTAGCACCATCCCCGCATGCGAAGGTTACGAGGATTTTCTCGTTGCGATTCCCCGCACCCTCTGTACCCTTTACCCTGATTACCTCACTTTGGTCCCACACCAGGATCCGACTCATCGCTTTCCCCCCATACATCGCACCGTCCATTACACCCGACTCCTCACTGGGGATTGAGAGCGGAGTCGCTTTCTACCACCTCTTCCCCAAGCTCACCCTCCTCTTCCCCCTCCCGTCATCAGACTACCTTTCCCCAACAACCTCTAGGATTGGATTTCTCGATGCCACCTTGGATGACTTCCACACTCTCATCTTACGGTGAGTGGCACGTGTCAGCTCCACGATGATCGTTGGCAAGTTTTAGGACCAGTCAACGGCGGAGAGCAAGCAGGAGCTTGCTCAAGATTGGAACCCCCTGGGCGTCACATATGTGACGAACTGTTATCTGCAATCGCACGGATTTTTGCGCGATGCTATATGGGGGGGGGGGTGAAATTGGTTGAGTTGGAATGGTCTGGCGGATTGCATGGATGCCCCTGCTTTTTCTTGTCCCTTTCGACTGAAGACTGGTTTGGTCCCACGACGGTTGATGGTTGATCGCGCCACAGCGAGTGCGACGAATAAACGGTTGTCATAGCTTCTTTCTTGTTCTGCTGTGGGAAATGGGAATTTTTGCACGATTGTCGTGCGGGGAAGTCTTTTTGAATTTTCAACTGCTGTCGAGCCCCCACGGGCTCTCGAAATTTGCTTCGTTCGGCTTTTCTTTTTGTAATTAGGACTTAGATTAGGAATTTGGGCACATCTGAATTTCTGTTGCGCGGCGCTTCCTGCTTGCGCACGTTCAGCCGCATCAGGAACTGTGATCTGACTTTCCCGGGCCTTAATATCCTATGTAACTGTAATCTTTGTTTGGCGGGCGTAATTGCAACTGTAATCCTCTCATTCTTTATATCTTTTCTTGCACCTTTGCGCACACATACCTCTCCCCCATCCTATTGGCCTGAACGCATGACTGGATCGATGTGCGGAGTGTGGCTACGTCCCCCCCCCTGCAACTTGGCCATGCAGACGTAAGCACTTCCTTCCTCCTTCTTCCTCCTACCCGAACACGATCCCAAGTATCGCGTGCAAAGCATGCATGCTATAAATCTCGCAAGCACGATTAATTTGCTCTCTAAGACGTTTTGGAGTTAGCGCGGTCGAGAGGATCGGCTAACGAGCAGGAGGTCCGAGGTGGCCGGTGAGTAAGAGAGTCGGGCGATCCGACGAGCTGGTGCTGGGTGTGTGGGGTTGACGTGGGTCCGCGACGGACTGTGGCACACGGGCAAACCTGACGGGCATGCTCGGGCTAAACGGGGTGACAAGTAGGCGTAGGTGCGAGGTTGACGTCGGGCCGCCCTGAGGCACACGAGCGAACCTGACGGTGTGCGGGGTTGACGTCGGGCCGCGACGGACTGTGGCACACGGGCAAACCTGACGGGCACGGAGTGTTTGAGAGATCCGAAATTTCGGGAGTATTGGGAGCACGTGTGTCTGTCTGCACGACCGAGGACAGAACTTTATAAATTTTCATACCTGGTGGGAAACGAGCGCATCTGCGAGTGGGATATCGACCGAGCTCGAGAGCGCATTCCCCACCACCCGGAACTCCCCAGCTCGTACACGTGTCACCTTGTCGTGGAACCAGGAATAATTATTCTGGAAACCGACTTCCCTCCCTACCACCGTGTACTGCCCTTCCATTCGCTGCCCATCCTCCCCTGGCGTGCAATCGCTCAGTATTGGCCCCAACCCCCGTGCTCGGAGTGCTTGCAAGACCACGAGTACTAAGACTCCGGTTTCATCCGACGAACCGACTCGGAGGAAGAACGACGCGCGCACAGCCTTCGACTACGGCCAGCCGCGTCGGATTCCGAGACCAGTGACGCAGGACGCCAACAAGTGGTCGGACAGCGCGATAACCATACTAGTGTCCCGACTGTGCACCAAATACGAGTCCGACCCAGACGATGGAACCAACGGAGGTGGTAGCCCTACACTCAGAAGCACAAAAACAGACTTCGATTCGCGCCCATCCTCTTGCATCCCTATCTTTGAGCTTGCCTCAGGAGATCTCAGTTGCGACATAAGACTCCACCCTCACTTTCCCAAAAATCCTTGGCACACCCCTTTTCGCACTTCCAGACCCACACACACTCCGATCAGGAAGTCGCGAAGGGTGTGAGGTTGGGGCGTCACAAGGGTGGCTAATCAAAATTTATAATAGAAGTCTGCCAGCACCTTGAAATCCAAGACCTTGTAGATCTTGGTGATCTTGTTTGCTCTTGGCCAACCAAGGGCTTGGTATCAACTCCCTTTCACTAATATACTCGCCCACCCCCCCTCTCTCTCTCTCTCCCTTTCACCATCTAATCGTTTTTCTTAGCTCTACCAATACTCTCTTATCCTACCTCACTCTTCTCCCTTCTTTTCCCTACTTATGTCCTCCCCTTTCCACTTTTCTCTCATACCTCTACCTCTTCATTAATCTTCCACCATTTTTTGCTCCCCTCTCCTCCTTACTCACTTTCTTCCACTAATCTTTCCTTCTCTCAACCGTTCTCATCCCTTTAACTGACATTTCGTTAAAACTGACATTTCGTTAAAACTGACATTTTTTTTTAAATTCACGAAATTGAGCGTACAAAAAAACAAATTTTTTTAGTGTTTTTTTGTCCCCATGATGTTGAATGATCAGATCATCGCGTTTCGTGGCGACTCCCGATGATCTGACCATCGGATGTATGTTAACGGTACTTTAAGTTGAGTTACATCAGATGGACAAAGTGAGATAACCACTTCCTCACCCGATGAGCAATGAAATTTTGACCAAGTCCACTTTCGTGAATTTAGAAAAAAATATCAGTTTTAACAAAATGTCAGTTCTTTC